GCAGGCGGCCGGGTCCCAGGGTGACCCCGGACCTGTCGCCGTCCGTGGGGGGTGATGAGCTCTGCCAGCCAGCAGAGGTGCCCAGCAGGGCTCCTGGGGCGGCTCGGGATCCAGGAGATGGCCCCGGCAGGAGCCGTGAGTCCTCCAGGACAGGCACCTGATGAGGACACCCTACGGGGCAGAGGGAGAGGAAGGGAGGGGGCTGGGGCTGCTACTGCAGGGGCTGGAGTGAGGCCCTGGCTGTGGCTTCTGGTGTTGGTGGGCTCTGGCCTTCCTGGCTCCTCTCTGCCAGTGTGTGACCCAGCCCTTGCCCCACAGGAGGTGCGAGTCCTCAGGCAGCGGTTCCGCAACCCGGTGGGCCTGGCGGCTGGCTTCGACAAGCAGGGCGAGGCTGTGGACGGGCTGTACAAGATGGGTTTTGGCTTCGTGGAAGTAGGGACTGTAACGCCTAAGCCCCAGGAGGGGAACCCCAGACCCAGGGTCTTCCGGCTGGCGGAGGACGAGGCGGTCATTAACAGGTGGGATCTGAGGGTGGCTGCTCTGCGGTATCCCACAGACTGCCCGCCCAGAGGGAGGGCATTTATTTGGGTGGTCCCGCTTCTGCAGTCTGTGCTCTGGTGGCTCTCCAGTTGGATGTGCTGAGCAGAGCTGCAGAGACCGTATGTCTCCCTCGTGTTTCTCCTGTGTCCTGCTCAGGGCTTGTGGACACCAGCCCAGCCCTGAACCTTATCTGTTCTGGTGCAGGTATGGATTCAACAGCCACGGCCATGCTGCAGTGGAACGCAGGCTGCGGGCCCGCCAGGAGGCGCAGCTTAGGCTCACTGGTGGTGAGACAAGCTTATAAGTCTTTGCTCTTGGGGTCTGCAGGGTGGGTTTGGGGGTCTTCCAGGAAGCTGTAGACCAGGAAAGGTGTGTAATGCCAGTGTCCAGGCACAGGAGGGCCCTGGCCAGAGCGAGGTGCATTCAGACAGCAGGAACCCACTTGGGGCTGTAGCCTCTTCCCCCTTGGGACTGTGACCAGGTGCCTTTTTCCCATCATTTTCCCTGCGATAGAGGCTCTGCTTGCTACTTTGGGCAGGATGTGTCTGCTGAGACTAGCCAAAGCTGATAGGGCCCGAGCTGGGCATTTTCCGAGGGCAGCCTCCACTGGGTGGCCAGGCTGGAGGCTGCAGTGCTGGGAGGTGCTGACCGGGGCAGCTGTGGTGATGCTGCTGTGGCTGCAGGACAATCCCAGGCCCATCCCAGTGAAACACGTGGGCTGCATATCGCCGTCTTGATTTTAGCTGGTCCTGGGGCCTCCCTTGTTGGGCACTCTGGCCCCTTGGGTGGTGGTTGGTCCCGCTGCCCTGGTTCAGCCGTGTATGTGTTCCAGCGGGGATGCCCCTTGGAATCAACCTGGGCAAGAACAAGAGCTCTACTGATGCAGCAGCTGACTACGTGGCTGGAGTGCGGACGCTGGGCCCTTTGGCTGACTACCTGGTTGTGAATGTGTCGAGCCCGAACACCCCAGGGCTGAGGGACCTGCAGGGCAAGGCTGAGCTGCGGGACCTGCTGACCAAGGTGGGTGACCCTCACAGCCAGCCCAGACCACAGCTGCAGCACTGGATGCATCCCGTCCCCTGGCAGTGCCTGCTCTGCTCCAGCCAGTGGGTTTGCCCCAGTGCAGGGAGGAGCATGGTGGCTCCCCAGAGCGGTGTGCAGAGCCACCGAGATGTCCCCTGATCAGCTGCTGGCACAGGGTTCCCGGGGTGTTGTACTCCAGCAAAGGGCATGTGAGCAGTAAGGCATTTCCCTCCGCTTTGCTCCTGCAAGGGGGCAGTGAGCCACCCATGCCACAGCATCGGGAGTCGCTGTGGTCCTGTGCGGGTTGTGTGCCCTAGGCCCTGTGCCATTGGGTGCCCGTCCCATTGGCAGCACCATGTAGGGAGAGCAGGGCCTGTCCCGGTGCTGCCTGGGGCGGTGGGTGCACGCGTCTCCCTGGTCTAGGGCAGGAAGTGTTCCCCCGCCACACACTGCTCTGTGCCCCCACGTGTCCCCCTGCAGGTGCTGGCGGAGAGGGACTTGCTGCCCTGCGAGCGCAAGCCTGCTGTGCTGGTGAAGATTGCCCCTGACCTCACTGTGCAGGACAAGCAGGACATCGCTAGCGTCATCTGCGAGGTGAGGAGGCGGGAAGAGGAGGCTGGCAAGGAGCTGGGCTGGTATGCCTCCTGCCTCACCTCGCACAGCATGGGGACAGGGCTGTGGTGCTCCTGGCAAGTCACCTCTCTGAAGGGACGGGCGGACCTGCAGCTCTCTTGCTGCCATAGGGACAGTGTCCTCCGTAGCTCTGAGTCTGCAAGGGCCTGTGTGTGTCACCCAGACCGTGGGGACAGTCCAGGCAGTGAGGGGCAGCTGCTTTGTCCCCAGGCACGTTGCTGGGGCACTTGTCGGGGGGAGTCCTGGCCTGGCAGTCTGGGGATGAGAGTGGGGGGCTGCTCATGGCAGCTGTGTCCTCATGCTGCTGCCCCACCTCAGCTAGGTGTGGATGGGCTGATTGTCAGCAACACCACCGTGAGCCGCCCCAGCAGCCTCCGGAGCAGGCAGCACACAGAGCCTGGGGGCCTCAGTGGGAAGCCCCTGCGGGAGCTCTCCACGCAGACCATCAGGGAGATGTACTCCCTCACCCGAGGTAGGGACAGAGCAGACCTTGGGGTGCATGCTGGTGTCGCCCGTGCTGTCCTCACCCTGCACCTGCCCACAGGCCAGGTGCCCATCATCGGGGTGGGTGGGGTGAGCAGCGGGCGCGATGCCCTGGAGAAGATCCGTGCTGGAGCCTCGCTTGTGCAGATGTACACAGCGCTCGTGTACCACGGGCCGCCAGTGGTGGGGGCAGTGAAGCGGGAACTGGAGGAGCTGCTGAGGTGAGTGAGGGGCCAGGCACCTCCCCAGGGAGCCCCTGCGCCCAGGGTGGCTCTGGGCAGCCGCCTGCTGATGCATGAGCAGTGGTACCGTGGGGCTGAGCCTCAGTGCCACGCCGGCCTAGCTGTCACACACACTCCCTGGTTAGGGAGCAGGGGTTCAAGAACGTCATGGAGGCAGTTGGAGCAGATCACCAGTGCTGACACGCTGCAGAACCAAGGCCTAGCCGGGATGAGCCGTGGGCAAGCAGGGACAGGTCTGACACTTCCAGTGCTGGGCAGGCTGGGACTGAGCTGAGGTCCTGGTCCTAGCCCCTGAGAAGGGTCAGTGAGGGGTGAAGCTGGGGCTGTGCTGGTGGGGAGCAGGGGAGGGGGTCTCCACACTCACTGGTGCTGCTCTCCAGGGCCATATTTTGGCTTTCCTGTGGGTTGGGCTCTCCAGCAGAAACCAGTGCTGAGTAAAGCTCTGCTGGGTGGTGAGGAAGGCCCCTGAGGGGATAGCCCTGCGGGCTGTAGGCAGTCCTGTGCCCTGGCTCCTGCTGCAGTGCTTCCCCGTGGAGGGCACACCTTCCCTGGTGTTACTGCCCAGAGCCACCGGCCAAGCAGTGTATTGGGTGTCCCTTCTGCCAGGGACCCCGCAGCCCGTGCTACCTGCTCAGGCTGGTGCTTGGTCCTCCTGGACTGCAGCCTCTGCAGGAGGCAGTCCCTGCCCTCCTCCCCTCGGCATGCGGTCCTGTAACAAATCTGCAGGCCCTGGGTCCTGCCTGACTGTCAATAAATGTTTGGCTCACCTGGTCCTGTGTGCTGCTCTGGGGACACCCCTTGGGTCAGAGGGATACAGCCCGGCTCTCCTCAGCTGAGTGGGATCAGCCCTCTTTGTGTTGTTCCTGGTCAGTGCATCTTCTCCTTGTGGTAGAAGCTGCAGGGTAGCTGGGCTCTGGGATGGATCCACACAAAGCTCACCAGGGCTCCCCTCACAGAGACCTCTGCCTGAGGCTGGGCCCTTGGGAGGTGCTGGGCACCATTTCTTCCCTTTGCTGCTGCTATGTCGATGTTTGGAGACAGCTGCGGTTATGCCCTGTTACTTGTTACGGAAAAGCCCTGTTCGTTCATGCTTCTGGAGGCTGTCGGTTTTGTCTTTGGGGCCTCTGGCGTTGACTGCTGCTTTACCCCAGACTCCCTGCGGTTGTCTCAGGCCTTTCTTGAGCAACACGGCTTGACCTGGACACAGTGTTCCCTCTGCAGCCTCCCACAATTCACCCTGCAGAGCAGGATTGCACTGCACTTCACCAAACCTGTTTATAGGAGGAGCGGGACTGCTGACCCCACTCTCAGTGGCCCTTGGCTCACATCAGGGCTGTCACCCGCCTGCTCTCCTGCTTCCGCAGCCCTCTGCACCAGCCTCTTTTTTCCTAGATTCTCTGCTTCGGACAGGTGGTGCTTATTGCTGCTCTAACAGGGATGTGACCCGGTCCATTGGCCAAGGTTTTGATGTGCCTTGTCTGGAGAGGGCCTGGGAGGTGCTTACTCTCCCAGTCTGAAGGTGGCTGTCATACCTGTGGGAGTGTGAGCTTGAGTTTCACCTTGTCCCATGGCACTCTAGTCTGTGCTCTGCAGCTGATTTGTGACTGTGGCTTGGAGACATTCGGTGCCTTGCACTGCCACAGCAGTCGCCGGTGGCGTTGGCCTCGAGCATGGCCCTGCGCTGCTGTAGCCCAGTGCGTGGGCTGCGGTCTGTGCTCCACGGGCAGGCTGGGGCAGCTTCCCCCACCTTCCTGCAGGCAGTCCCTTTGTCCGAGCTAACCTTGAGGCTGCTGAGTGGGCACCAAGGCACAGTCGCGTGTTGCTTTTTTCCCCCTGCCAGGGTATGGCAGTCTCCTGCGGAGGGACAAGCCTGCTGCAGTGGGACAGTGCTATCTAAGCCTGCTATCATCAAATGCCACAGCACCTTTCTAAGTGCTGGTGTGGTTCATAGAATCATTAAGGTTGGAAAAGACCTCCAAGATCATCGAGTCCAACCGTTGACCCAACACCACCATGCCCACTAAACCATGTCCCTAAGAGCCTCATCTACACATCTTTTAAATACCTCCAGGGATGGTGACTCAACCACTTCCCTGGGCAGCCT